TTCTGGGGCATCCTCACAAGGTACCTTTTCCTTGGACACATCAAGCAGAGCCTCCTGGCCAGGAACTCACTCAGCTGCAACTCACAGATCTCCACACTCAGTGATGACCACTTCTGTGAGCAGAGGTCCTGAGGATGTGTCAGGGCCAAGCCCCCCATCAGTGGAAAAAACTAGCCCCCCATCTTCCCTGGTGTCTTTATCTGCAGTAACCTCACCTTCGCTGCTTTATTCCACAACATCTGGGAGTAGCCACTCCTCTCCTCTCTGGGTGACTTCTCTTTTTACCCCTGTCGTGATGAAGACCGCCGGCATGTTGGACACAAGCTTGGAACCTGTGACCACTTCACCTCCCACTATGAATATCACTTCAGATGAGAGTCTGGCCACTTCTAAAGCCACTATGGACACAGAGGCAATTCACGTTTCTGAAAACACAGCTGTGACCCAGGTGGGCACCACCAGAGCCAGACAAGAATTCTATTTCTCTTACCCAGGCTTCCCAGAGCCATCCAAAGTGACATCTCCAATGGTCACCTCTTCCACGATAAAAGACATTGTTTCTACAACCATACCTGCTTCCTCTGAGATAACAAGAACTGAGATGGAGTCAACATCCACCCTGACCCCCACACCAAGGGAGACCAGGACCTCCCAGGAGATCCACTCAGCCACAGAGCCAAGCACTGTTCCTTACAAGGCACTCACTAGTGCCACGATTGAGTACTCCTGGACACAAGTCACGTCCTCTAGCAGAAGACCTAGCCCTGATCAGTCCACAATGTCACCAGACATCTCCACGGAAGTGATCACCAGGCTCTCTACCTCCCCCATCAAGACAGAATCTACAGAAATGACCATTACTGCCCAAACGGGTTCTCCTGGGGCTACATCACAGGGTACGCTTACCTTGGACACCTCAACAACAACTTTTATGTCAGGGACCCACTCAACTGCATTTCAAGGATTTTCACACTCAGAGATGACCACTCTTATGAGTAGAACTCCTGGAGATGTGCCATGGCCAAGCCATCCCTCTGTGGAAGAAATCAGCTCTGCCTCTTCTTTGCTGTCGTCACCTGCTATGACCTCACTTTCTCCTGTTTCTTCCACATTACCGGACAGCATCCATTCCTCTTCTCTTCCTGTGACATCACTTCTCACCTCGGGCCTGGTGAAGACCACAGAGCTGTTGGGCACAAGCTCAGAACCTGAAACCAGTTCACCCCCAAATCTGAGCAGCACCTCAGCTGAAATACTGGCCACCACTGAAGTCACCACAGATACAGAGAAACTGGAGGTGACCAATGTGGTAACCTCAGGTTATACACATGAATCTCCTTCCTCTGCCTTGGCTGACTCAGTGACAACAAAAGCCACATCTTCAGTAGGTATCACCTACCCTACAGGAGATACAAATGTTCTCGCAGCAACTCCTGCCTTCTCTGACACCAGTAGCATTCAGACAAAGCCAACGCTTTCACTGACTCCTGGGTTGATGGAGACCAGCACCTCTGAAGAGACCACCTCTGCCACAGAAACAAACACTGTCCTTTCTAGTGTGCCCACTGGTGCTACTCCTGAGGTCTCCAGGACAGAAGCCATCTCCTCTAGCAGAACATCCATCCCAGGCCCTGCTCAATCCACAATGTCACCAGACACCTCCACGGAAA